CATCCACTGTTTTCTGCAAAAAAATTTGCTTTGTCAGACAGAAACAAACTCCCCTAGACAAAAAAATACAGCTAAGGCACAATTTCGTTGTTGTTTTTCTGCTAAATGAAGAGACAGAAAAGGTGCAAAAATGGGTGGGTAGTGCAATCGTTTCCGAGAATCACATTCTACCGCGAGGAACAAGCATTCGGGTGATTGGAACTTTGATTTCTGGTCAATTTCAGATAGTTCAATATCTCTTAAAATACTCCTTTAAATAAATAGCAAAATATCTACATCTTTCAGTGTGTGCCGTTTGAATTCTCTCTGTTTTTAAAACTCTATTTACAGATTCTCTCTTTTTAAAAAAATCAATACATTACAAAATATTTCTGTACAGTTTTATGCATATTATGATCTATAACAAAATAGTTATTTTTAAAAACTATATCACCACATGTCTTCGGGGAAAAAAATGAAGGGGAACGGTAATAACTTATTGTGAGGCCTCTAAAAAAATACCCAACGCTACTGACAACATAATAATATTAAGAATAAAAAAAAAAAAAAGGAAGGACTACAAAGACGATTGCGCGCAATTCCAGTGAATTTCCTATGAAAACCCTGGGTTGTCTTTGGCCTCCATCAGCCCTGGAGCGATGGAAGGGAAGAGGAGGGGCTCTGGATGTAGGGAGAGTGTTGCCCCTTGGAGAACACGACCCAGCAGCTGGGAATATTTAATGCTATCTCTTTCCAGGCAGGAAGGACGAAGGGATAAATTGGGAAACTCTCCTGATTCACCCTTGACTGAAGTAGGTAAGTCATGGCGTCTTTGGGAAGGGGAGGGTTGGAAAGCTGGATTTAGCACTCTGCGGGTAATGGAGCCAGCCCCGCTCACCACAGGGCGCTGGGCGGGAGAGAGAGCTGCAGGAGCTGGCTGAGGTGGAGGTGAGCACCCAAGCCTTCATTTCACCCATGGGAAACGCTTACGAATAGTTTTCCTAAAGACGACAGTTATTAGCAACTTCTAAGCATCTGCAAACTACAGACTGGCTGCCCCTTGCTTAGGAGATTTCCAAGAAAGAAAGCTTCAAGGGGCTCTTTCTTCTGGGATGAGGGTGGCAATGGGAGGGAGAGGGCGGTCAGCTTTCCAAAAATAATTTTAAGGCCACATTTCAAAAAGGAGAACCTAAGGCTTTTTGGGGGTGGGGATGGGGAGAAGATACGCAAGTCAGAAGAAAGCGTGGAATGGAGAAGATGAATTAGGAATGGAGGTGGTGGTGGGCAGAGGTGGCTGGAGAACTCCAGCTGAGTGGAGGGGGGCAGGGGGGAGGGGGGAGAGAGGGCCACATGCTCCCTGCATGGGGCGGGGCAAGGACAGAACCAAAGACAACATGAGGGGCGGACACAGGTGGCGCCAGAAAGCCCTCCTCAGTCTTAAGAGGGGTCTATACAGTATTTTGTTTGCAGGGTGAAGAAGAATAAAACTTCAGAGAGAGAGAGAGAGAGAGAGACAGAGAATTTGCATAGATTGTACGTTCAGCCCAAGCAGATCTGGCCACCTTCATTCCCCCCAGGTAAACTTCTCAGCAGACACAGTGAGGTAGCGCCTGTGGTAGACCCATGGGCAAAGTAAGGTAACTGAGGCAGAGGCTGGGAGGGCTTCCTGGGAGTGAGCTCAGCTCCAGCAGGGCTTCCTGGGAAGCTTCCAGATGTGTGGCAAGCTGGCTGCTAAAACTTGGGATTTGGAGAGAGCCGGGCTGTTTCCCATGCCACCCCCTCTTCCTGGCCCCCGTCCCTGACCCCTCCGCCTGGGTATGGTGACATTCCGGAAGGTGTGGGCCTCCTCGCGTCTAGGGGCAACCGTTGGGGTCTCCAGATGGTGTCCCTCCTTCCCTTCAGCACAAACTGTGGGGATCAGGAGAGCAGGACGAGCCAGTTCTCCCAGACATCTCCTTGGTGGGACCGTCTTTGGAAAGGGAATGATTAGGGAGAGATTCCTGTTCCCTTCAGCATTCAACAGGAGCCACTATGTTTGCCCTTTTCTTAATGCTGGCTTTCCCCACCTCCCTGGGGCCACGCCTGACTTTCTTTCACCCACTTCTGCAGAACCAGGTGCACAGGCCGAGCTGTGGAATGTCTCTGTGCCCATCCTCTGTTAAAAAAAAATGGCCAACATTTAAAAATCAGATTTCCTATTGAAGTCTGGGTTTCTGGCTTCCTTTACCAAAGTGGAAGGTTCTGCTGAGCGGCCCCTGCATTCTCACAGGCGCCGACAGGCTGGAGCTGGGGAGCTGCTGCTCTTTTTGGAGGGGCCATGTGCTGCCAGCAGCCCCCGCCACTCCCTACACTGTCACACCAACTGCTAGGGTCCCGGACCCCCCCGGATAGCTGTGGCCTTGGCCATAGGGTGCCTGGCAGGCCTTTGCCAACAGCTTTTCCAGTGTCTCTGCCTTGGATGCTGCTGGGGAGCTTGTGTCCCGAGTTCCCAGGGAACGTGGCTGGGAAAGGGGTCTTTGTCACATCTCACACCCAGCAGCCACTGCTCTCCTCAATTCTGTACCTTCTCGGCAAAGAGACCCAGTTTCTAGCCTGTGACCTTCTTGAACCTGGAAACTAGAGAACCAGGGGGAAGCACAGACCACATGACATGGGCCTGGGCCCAGAGTAGCTGCGATCTGTACCTTCCATGGGCTTGTGTGGCCTTCTGTGCTCAGCTTCTCTCAAGGCCACTTGCATTTTCAGAAGTTCAGCCAACAACAGGAAATGAAGTCAGAATGACCCCGGGTCTGAGCAGAAAGGCCTTGCTCCATAGGAAGGAATGGTTGCATTTGTTAAACATGGGGAGCCCTGGGAATTGCTCACTGCTCTCCTAGCCCTGGCCCAGCCCTGAGACATAGTGCTTTGTGCAAGGCCTGGGCAGTGGGACTTGGGAGGGCTTTCTGTCTCCTATGCTCTAGCTCCCTCCTTACCAGGCCACTAGGAGGGAGAGTGGTTCTAGGGGCCTCAGCGGTTCAAATGACACGGTGGGAAACACCGAGTCCTCATGGCCTGGTGAGGAGGGAGAGAGGAGGCCTGCCTGCTGGCTGGGAAACCGTGCCGAGGGCCACAGCCTACCGACTGCTTCTTTCTGCCCCAAGCGGACCCTGTCCCACCTTCCAGCTCTCCTGCAGTCCCAGGACCCAGCGGTGGCGACCCCCAGCCACTGTGCTGCAACCTGAAGAGGGCTTCCAGAGACCTCGCCTCATGCTTTTAACAAACGCCCTCGGGCACCATGGCTGAAGGCTGCCTGGCCAATAAACCATGCTCAGGGAGATTAAAGAATGAGTTAAGCCATTTCCCCTGGAAAAGACCACTTTTTCTCAAATCATCCTGGGTTTTGTTTGGAATTCTCTCTCTCTCTCCCTTTTTCCCCCAAATGTAACATCTGCAAAATTATTCTCTGTCCAGAAACAAAAGACATTAAGAAACAGCCAGATGACTTCAGTGTCCCAGAATTCACTGCAGGGAGAGGTGACTGAAGCCAAGGACAGGGATGGGGTGTGGGTGTCCCCAGAATAAGCCAGCTCTGGCCCACCTGTTTCAGGGCGGGAACAAGAGGCAGCCACGTCAGCAGGTGCAGGAGCCTGCGGGCACACAGTCCGCACAGGGACCTGCCAGGGCTGCACCGTCGCAGCCACTGCAAAGGACACTGGGAAACACCCACGTCCTCGTGGCCTGGTGAGGAGGGAGGCTCCCTGGGCAGCTCGGACAGGTGTAGGGACACTGGCCAGAGGCAGAAGCTGGGGGCAGAGAGAGGATGTGGCGCAGGCCTCCCACAGCTTGTAAGTGCATTTAGAGATTACAGGGGCTTTCTGAGAAAGCCACTCTGAGGTCCCGAGGACCACTGTTGACAGTGGCCACTCCTGGCGCCATCCAACCACCTACCCTCTTCCTGACATGGATGTCTTTTCCTCCCAGGCTCAGAGCAGCCGTTTCCCTGTGCATCTGTCATGTTACATGGAAGCGCGTGGTCAGACTGGCCGAGGGAGGTGAGTCAGGAGGAAGCAGGACGGTCGAGCTCTGTGGTCGGCACACTCTCCAGCCACAGGGAGTGGGGATGGCTCAGGAATTCCAACTCCCCCAGAAACGGGAGGGGGGCTACATGAAGCTAACACCCTGCATAAGGAAAAGTGAGGCTCCAACGTTCCCAAGGTCACCCCTTTCAGCCAGTGCACGATGCTCAACGAAGCGTTCCCCTCATGCTGTCCAACACCCGTGCTGAGGACACGGAGAATGGAGGGAAGACACGCACGCACACTCACACACGCATAGAAACAGAGAGAGACACTAGGAGATGCGGAGGGAAGCACAGGGAGGGGGAGGGCTGGGGCGCCTTTTGTGAATAAAGGCAGCTTCAGTTAGTAAGATAACGTAATTGACAAGCTGCAAAAACAGCACCTACTCATTAGTCATTGACTAAAACATAAATAATAAATATCTAAAGTGTCCTTTCTCTAGACCCTCCATTGCCCATAGGACATCCTGCCTTGCTGGGTGGGGGATGGGTGGTTATGGGGCGGAGGGGGCGGGGGGGCAACAGCTGAAAGGTCATCGGAGCGAACTGCAGTACCTTCATAGTCACACTGGGGGTCACACCAGGAACTGGGTCCCCAGGAAGGGCAGTTTGCAGCCAGGGGTGGGACTTGTCCAAGGGAACCCTGTCCTCTGGGGGAGGTGGGGTCAGAGGAGGAAGCGAGCCTCCTACAAGGGCCTCTCAGAGGGGCAGGGGACCCTCCACGGGGCACATGGCAAGGAAACCGTCCAGGCGTCTGGGAGCTCAGGCCGTTGGAATAATATTATTGTTTAGGTTTTAAACAAGCAGACACTCAAGCGTCCCATGTTTACACAGCATGTCGCCTGAGATAAAGAAGGGCATGGATTTAAAAACCGAATCGGAAATGCTTTTTCCTGGACGTGAAAAGTCTGGTTTGGTCACTCCCAACAGCACCGACTGTGCGATTCCCAAAGGTTTGGGGGGCGGGGGGGGGTGGGGGGGGCGGGTGGTGCTGACCTCAGAATGGAAAGGCTCAGGCCGGGGACGGATATTGCTGTGCTGTCTAGCTCAGGAGTTTTGCTCCAAACCATCTGTAGGAGTTTCATGGCCATGGGCCCTAGTGTTCCCACTGTCAAGGATCAACAAGGTCATGGTCTCCTGGCCCATGAATGGCTGGAGATGTGATGTTCATCAGCCCATTTTCCCTCGAGGGAGGGGGCATGGAACCCAGGACAGTTGGCAGTCACACCACAGCTTCCCTGCTCGTGTAGTGACTAAGAAGGGCTGGTGGGAGGCCTGGAGCCGTCCTGGGCCTGCGGCCTCCCTGGGGAGGGCCCGTGAGCATGGTTTCAGTGACCTGTCATTTCAGCACTGGCACAGGGTTTCCTGGGCCAGAGGAGCAGGAAGAGGAGCCGAAGGGTGGGGCTGGCGATCAAACCCACCGTCTGGGCAGTGCTTTTCAAACTGGGTTTTGCAGAGCCCTTGGGTTCTGAAGAGGTACCTTAGGAGATGCCCTTGGCGAAGGGACCGCCCGGTGGGCCGAGCATTGAGGAAGAACCCCCTCTCCCTAGCTTCGCCCAGAGCAGCCTGGATTTCACTTGCACCTGGAACTCCACCCACCACTGCGCTTCGTAAACAAAGTTCTGCTGCTCAAAGGAAAAGTCTGAGAATCACTCGTCTGGGGGCTTGGTCACTGGAGGGGAAGACAAGGACCCTGTAGGACTTGAGGACCAGCCGGAAGAGGTAAGACCACACCCCCAGGAGCCAGCTGGCCAAATGCAGGTCATCGGCAGACCCTGCTTTGGCCTCAGAACCTTCCTTCTCCATCATTCTATGGCCAGGAGGGCCCCTCCCACAAAAGGCACCCCCAGGGTGGGAGGCCCTCTGGCTGTGTTCCCTTTGACATCCGTTGCGGCCCACCCACGCCCAGTGCTACCTGAGCCGGCCATCGGGTTTGACTGCCCCCAGCTCCGACTTGGGGTCCGGGCTGAAGGAACTCCAGGCCGTCTGGCTGCAGGTCTGCATGACTGGGCAGGCGGTGGGGCCTGTGGCGCAGATGTCCATGGCGGTCCACATGCTGCCCACCAGTGAGTCCAGCCAGTGCTCCAGCGCAGCGCCGGTGGAGGCCGCGTTCCTCCGAGCCTGCTCCACCTGGGCCAGGCTGACGGGCAGGCTGAGGACGGGGTTCAGGCTCTGGAAGCTCTGCTCCATGTAGGCGCCACGGGGGGGTCCGTTGTGCAGCTTTAGCGCCTCCTCTGAAAGCCAAGGGAACCATCACATCATTAGAAGAGCCACGAACCTGGCACCTGCTGTGTGCCTGGCACCACGCTGGGCACCGGGGTGGCACCACTTAATTCACAGGACAGCCTCATGAGGAGGCTGTCTCCTCAGTCCCACTGCACAGATGAAGAAACTGAGCCCGAGACAGCGCTGAGCCCACTTTAGAGCGACGTTCATTCATTCACAGATTTTCACGGCATCGTCGATAGGCCAGACATTCATTCATTCAATTAATATTTACTCAACATCTATTTGCAAGGCGTTCACCCACCCATTCATTTGGTAAATGTTTATTCCAGGCTCTACTCTATGGGGTGGAGAGAACAAGACAGTCAAGGAGATTGCAATCCAGTGGGGTAGACTGATGACAATAAAGGGGAAAAAAAGTAAGTAAGTAAGGTTGTTTCAATTAGTGATAAGAGTCACAAAGGAAATAAACGGGGTGTTGAGTCAGAACAGGGGGTTGCACACAATGGCCCCACACCTGTTCTAAAGTTTTATTGGAACATGGCTATGCCCATTTGGGTAGATATTGTGTGTGGTTGCTTCTGTGCTACCACAGCAGAACTGAGTGGTTGAGACAGAGATTGTAAGTGGCCCCCAAACCTGCATATATTTACTATCTAGCCCTTGACAGCAAAAGCCTTCTGATCCCTGGGGTAGAGTTACCAGGGTATTTACTTTAGATGAGGTGAGCAGGGGAGGCCTCGCTGAGGAGGTGACATCTGAGCTGAGAGGTGATTAATGTGAAAGAAGACAAAAGCCACATACAGAGCCCGGGAAAGAGAATTCTGGGCAGAGGGAACAGTGAGCACATTCCTTCCATTCCTAATGCTTCAGGAAGCTGACGGCCGGGCTCTACAGTTTGGAGGAGAAGAGACCAGCGGGCGTGAGCACATATCCCGTCCCGCTCTGAGTTAGCGGGCTTCTCCCTTTCACGTTAGGTAAGCCCGGGTGTGCCCGTCACCCTAGCCCACCGCTCCTGGATGCTGGCAGAGGGCAGGCAGCTCCTGTGTCATTCGCCAGGAGAACAGAGGCTGTGCTCTCTGATGCAGATCCGATTTCTCTACTCGAGCCTCTCCAGGCCCCCATCCTGCAGGTGGGGAGACGGGGCACACCAAACCCACAGCACGCCGGCCTGCAGAGCGAAGAGAGCCGCTCGCACATCTGACACCAAACACTGCGGCTGATGCAGAAAACCCTATGAACTGTGAGGCTGACGTGGGACGTGCTCTTACAGCATCAGCCTCCAGTGCTCACCTCTGTAATTAAATTTTCCTCAATTCCACCTCATCAGATTTCTTGAGATTACTAGGGACGCATCAATAGCAAATTACTCTTGATGAATCATTTTACAAATTGCACGGCTCCCTCCTTCGTGTTCCCTGTCGTTGGAACATCGTTAACAGATACAATTACCAACGATGACGATGGGGCATTGCTCCCAGTGAGGTGCAGTGACCCCCGGCTCATGCCTCCAGGAGAAAAACATTGGGAAACTCAGGCCCCAGTGAAGGGCCCGGGCTGTTTGCTGAGGTGGATGGAGTCAGGACCACACCCTTGTTCTGTCCAGCAGGCACATCCGCCACAGAGGTCTGGACTGCCCTTTCCAGCGCTCCCCTCCACACCTGGCTGTGGAAACCCTTAGGAATGCCAAGGACATGAACCTGACCCGGGACCCTGGGGGCCCTCAGGGCTGTGTGCTGGCCCAGACAGTTCTGGGGAGCTTTTGTCTGTTTCGGAGGGGAGTGGAGAAGCAGAATTCCATCCTGAGAAAACCTGAGGGCTCTACCTGTCTGCTTGCTCAGCACAGAAACTTAGCAAAGTCAATAGAATCCCTTCAACACTCCCTTTTTATAGGACTCCGTCCCTACCCCCCATATCTATGTCCCCTCTCCTTGTGTCACTGGCTAAATGGCATCCAGCTCAGAATGAATGCTTAGCTACCAGAGGCTGCAATTGTTTCTGGCTTCTGGGTCTGCGATCTGTTAGATGGAGACACCACCAGGCGGCTACTGTTGTGTTGGCTGTTGTCATTGTCTTACTTGACAATCTAAGGGGAAAGAGGTCAGTGCTCCTGACTAAATAGTCAGGTATTGCACTGCTTTAAAAACTCTTGTGGCACGCGGGTTGAAAAAGCGCTGACTAGTGTATCATATTTTTGATGAACAGGATTTCCTGTGTTAATTAATATTTTTTTACACAGTGAACAAGATTTGCTAAAACTCAATATCTGCCTGGGCTTATTTTCCATCCTGTCTTAAATATGATCAGAGCCTCTGGGAGCCCAGTGGGAGAGCATCTAATAAAAAGTTATCCAAGTCACAGACTGAGGACGTCACCTCCGTGTGCAGGCGGAAGAGCAACTACTGAGAGCAGAGAGCATGGTTCTCGAAAGTGGCCCCCTCTCCCCACATCTGGGCAGCACCACTGCCCAGGCGATGGACCCATGGGATCCCTGGGGATGGCATATCCCCCCCCCCACACCCCCCGACCCTGGACTCCCAGCAGAGACACGGGGAGTACTCACCCGGTTTGATGGGCTGCCTGTTGGAGAAGGTCAGCGGTGCGACGAGGAATTTGGTCTCTGCGACTGGCACCCAGTGGTGGAGAATTTTCACTGTCCAGACCCCAGGCCGCAGGGGCAAGTTCAAAGGGGGCTTGTAGTGGGTAAATTCGGCCGTGGACTCAATCAGGATGTCGTAGGTGGCTGCGATGACGTTGACGGGATCCACCCAGATGACAGTCACGGTCACGTTGGGGCCCTTCCCCCACTTCTGCATGCCTACCGGCTCGTCCATGGGCCCCAGGAGACCCCCAAAGTTGCGGAAGAGCCGCTCCTTGGCATCCCAGTCAGTGCCGACCTGAAACAGGAGAGCAAGCCTGAAATCACTGACACTGAGCTATGGTGCTGGGTCCCAGAAAGGCCTGGGATCCTGCTTGCTGGACAGGATATACCCATTTTACAGATGAGGAAATGGAGAAACTCAGGCTCCGATTAAGTTACTTGCTCAAGGTCAGACAGGAAGTAAGCAGAAGATTTGGTATTTGGATCCAGGTTGGAGGATTATAAGGCCTGTGGTCTGTTCACTAAACCTTAGGGCCTCCAGTGCCTGGCACCTGGTGGGTGTTTTGGGAAAAAAATGTGCACTGAATGAATGAATCTCTGCTTGAGGCCATTCCAAGAAAACATACACCCTGCCATTCAACAGGTCCAGCTGGATTCCGCTTTGCTCCTTGGTTTTCCAGATCATGTCCCTCTGTTGAGTGTGACTATTCTGAACAAGACTAGAGCTCAGGTTTTGGAGCTGCCCTGTCATAAGCTAGAAAAGAAGGTTCTCTCAGCATCGCCTGTCACCTGCAGCAGTTCACACGGCTTTCCCAGAAGATAGAGCTCTGGCCTCCCTAACACATTCTGAGCTGGAGCCCAGGGATGGGAGATGGTTGTACAATCCATCCTTCCTGCCAGCCAGTGGCTTTCGTCCTCCACGAATCCTTCCACTTCTGTCACCTGCAATCTCTTCTCCACCCAGCAGCCAGAAAGACCCCGTGAATTGTCCTCAAACTGCTCAGATCCCTGTGCCTGGGTCTGCTGCTCTCTCGTGGTGCCTAGCACTGTGCTTGGTGCTCCATCAGAATCTGTCGAGTGAACGACTTGACAAACGAATGAACTGCAGAGATCCCTGATGCGCTCTGTTGCAGTTTCAAATCAAATTAAATGAGGGTCTTCTGCTCCCCAGGAGCTTTCATTTAATGCTCCGAGGACAGCGTGGGACACGTTGGCAGCCGATAATGAGCACACTGCCAGGCTTGCGCTGCTTCTGTGGCCTCTGCATGACCAGCATCTCCAATGTGTGTGTCTGCAGGGCAGGGCAGGGGAAGGTACAGACATCTACACCCTGAGAAGATTCCACATTAAGGTGCAGACAGGAGCTGGTTTATTTTCTCCTTGTTCTCACCTTGAGTCACTGTGTCCATTCCTTACACAGAACGCGGAGCTGCATGGCCAGTAGGTACCAGGAGCTTATGCCAGGCATAATGCTAAATTCTTGGATGCTTCACTCATTTCATACTCACTTCCAACTCCACATTATCCCCATTTTACAGACGAGGAAACTGAGGCTCAGAGCAGCTCAATAACTTGCTATGGTCAGTGAGGGGCAAAGCCAGCAGGGGGACCCAGGAAGTCTGACTTCAAAGGCTGTGCTCTTATTTCTCTTCAATGTATTGCCTCCCATTCATTCACTCACTCACTCACTCATCAATACATATGTGCCAAATGCCTACCACCAACCAGATGGGACTATTTATACCTGTCCTTCATAGGCCCACAGCTTGCTTCAGGTTTCTGTCTTTAGACCGCAGCCTAAAGAGTGGTCTTAAGGGCAGCAGAGGTAGTGATTGCTGTGACATTTCTGCTGGGTACCGTCCCTCCCAGGGTTGTGAAATCCTGGCCACCCTATGGATCAGCAGGAGCTGGCTGCTCCCGAGGACCCCTGCTGCTTAGCACACTCTCTGGGACACAATAGAAATTAAAACGATGTTGTTGGTTGAAGAAATAAATGAGTGAGCAGGATTCAAACTACACCTCAAAGTCTTAGAGATTTTTCTAAAGAAACCCAATCCTTTTCAGTATCTCATTATTCCTAAGTCTGGTCTCTCACTCTGTCCTACAAGGTCTGGTCCTTTGGGTCTCTTCCTTTCTGTCCCTCTCCCCATCCTCCACTCATCCCTGCTCTAGGCTCTCTCCTCTCCTTCCCTACCTCCCCCCCCCCCCCATGCTGGAGTACTCTCAGCGCCTCCTTGAGAAGGGCTCACTCTTGCCTCTCATCTTGTGTCCACACCCACATCTCTCTGGTTCAGTCTGCTTACTTTCCCCACCCTCTTCCCCACCCGCTCTTCTTTATCATCCAGGCCTCAGCCAGGGTGTCACCACTACTTGGAAGCCTTCCTGCTTAGGCACCACTAAGGTGCGTCTCTCAGCATTTAGTTTTTTTGTACAGTATTGCAATCTTTAATTTAATCTCTCTCCCTGGCTCAACATTATCAACTCCATGAGAGTAGGGACAAAATTCGGCTTGTTCATCAATGTATCTGTAGTGCCCCAAACAGTGCTGAGCGCATAGCAGGTGCTCACTGTATCTCTATCTCTGTATTTATCTACCCAGCATATATCGACCTACCCATCCATCATCTATCTATGTCATGAATGATTAGGGGCTGAGCACATGGACATCCCTATGCACCCAGGCCCTGCACACACTGACTCCAACAGACACTGACAAATGGATCAATGGTCACAAAACCATGTCAGGGTTCTACTTCAGGAAGGAATTAGCCACCAGTTAGGGGAGTGTGGGGACACTCCAGAAACCATCCTTTGATTCCCCCATAGAGTTGGGGGTGAACAAATCCCTGAAGTCAGTTCTGAAACCAAAATAACACAGCAGAAGAGTTGCAAAGCGGTTGACAGTGGAAACACCTAGATCTTGTTTCTAAACTTTGAGAGGAGGAGAAAGTCAGCCGCCACCCCCACGCGCGAGGGAGGTGGGTCTGCCTGAGATGGAGCCCTGTTGCTGTCACATCCTCTGTGGCCTTCAAGGTCTTCTCCGCCTTGCTCTGGAAGTCCACACCGTACTCTGGCACAGCCTGCTTACCATTTGTACTACAAAATGATCAGCTGCTCATATATGAGCGCATGTTCAAGTTCAAGCTTAACAATGCTTCCTGGCTTCAAACCCACCAAATGTTTCCCACAGCCCTTAAAATACAACCCAAACTTCTCTCCAGGGCCTGCGAGACCCCTCATGCTCTGTCCCCTGTCCCCTCAGAGTCCTCCCTCCTATCACTCTCCCTCTCGCTCAGTGTGCACTGGCCTTGCTGCCCCTGGAGTCCACCGAGCTCCTGCCTGGAGCCTCAGGGCCTTTGCCTTGCACATGCACTTCTTTTAGAAGGTCCCAGGGTAGTTTTCAGCTCCAAAATTATTCTTAGAAAAGCCTTTCTCAACGAATCCTCCCATTGAAAGTAGTCCTCATCGGCCTCTCACGGCCTCAGCAATCACAGGGAGGGCATTTTTCTTTCTTTGTGTAATACTTATTATTAGTTGAAATGTTTTTGTTCATTTGTTTGCTCACTCCTTGGCTGCCCCACAAGAGAGGACTTCCATGGCTATAAGGGTCTGGTCTATCTGGTTGACCGCTGTTCCTTCTGCACCTCGCATATCTCGGGCACTCGGTGACTTTCTAAGCCACTGGCACAGGACGTCCACGGGATGGAGAACTCTATCCAAGCTCCCCACCTGCCCTGGGCCAGGCCCTACGCACAGCCCTGGGGCTGTGCCAATTCGAGAGAACTTCTCAACATGCAGTTCTGTTCCTCCTCCTTGTCCAACTTCATGTTTGCCTTAAAATTAAGGCTTTAGAAAAAAAAATCGAAATACAAGATCCGGGGCTCCCTGCTCACACGTTGGTACTCTGCCAGAGGTCTCGGTGGCTCTCACACCAAGGGTACCAGAACTATCGCAGGAACCCTCACAAATCACCAGCCACGAGTGGCCAGTGTCATTTGTCACTGCCAGAAGTGCCCGGTCCCCCAACGGCAGGCTGATAAACAGGGAGAGCCCAGCCACCAGGCATCCATCTCCTTAATGGGACGTTAATGTCTTCAATCGGCCGCCTGGGCCCCCAGCACAGATTCCAACTGGGGCAGCATCTAACTGCCCCCTGGCGCCAGTAATTTATGGAGTGGGCTCCCATGGCAGCTCAAATCCAGACAATCCGTTTGGAACCTTAATTGAAAACCAGGCTTCATAAGAAACTCCCACCAGTGCCTGTTCAGTGCCCACTCAGCAGGGCACAGGTCGGCCAGGTGGGCCATTGGGGACTGGAGAAAGACTAGCAAGGGAATATAAGTGGGTGCGATACTTACTCCCATCCCTTAAGATTCTCCACATTCCAAAATCAGCTCCCAAGCCAGCAGCCAAACTCACTGGGGGTGCTTAACTCCAGGAATGAATCAGTGCTTTAGAAATCCCATGAGGAGTTTTGTGTGGGCAACCCTCACCAAGCTTGATCAAGCTTCCTCTTCCTTCCAGGTCACCAGCCAAGTGCAGGCACTCATTCATTCAGAAATCATTGTTGCTGACACTAGTACGGATGTCTCCCATCTTCCCCCATTTGCCCACCTCCACCCAGCCTCCATCCGCCTCCCCTGGCCTTCACCACACTGTTGTCTGTGTCCATGGACTATGCATATATCTTGTTTGGCTAATCCCTTCACCTTATTCCGCATCTGCAAATGCTACATACTTTTCTATGTGCTGGTTTACAGCAGTGAGTGAGAGGGATATTGTCTTCGCTCTCTTGCGGACAATCACCAAGTGACTAGCGAAACCAACAAGATGATGTTAGATGGTAAATACTAAGAAAAACTAAAACAAGGATGTGTCGGGCGGGGAGTGTAGCTATCATGGCCTAAGTGAGTGGGCAGAGAAGGCTTCTCGGAAGGTGCGTTATTTGGATTTAGATCAGAATGACCCCAAAATGGGTGAAAACCTGTGAGAAAGCGTTCCAGGCAGGAGGATCAACATGCCCCGCCTGAGGTGGGAACAAACTGGGCATGCTTGACAAAGAGACAGGTGTGAGTGGGGAGGAGAGTGGTACTGGATGAGGCTGGAGAAGTAGAAAGAGGGTAGATCAGGTCTGGAGGTGGGGCGATGTCAGCAGGGTGGTGCTGGATAAATCCATCTCCCCAGGCAGGAAAACAACTGAAACCTGGTGCTGTACTGGAGAGGTGGAAACTGCATTCCATAGGTCATGCATCAGTCCATCTGTCCAAACACTAACGCATCTGTCCATCCGTCCATCCATCCATCCTTTTGTCCATTCATCCACCCGTCCATGCATCCATCCATCTACTCATCCATTCAATGATTGATCTGGTACTTATTTTAAGCTAAATCCTGTGCTAAGAACCGGGGAGACAAAAGCACAATTAAACATGGGACTTGCAGCCTAAGAGACCTGGGTTCAAGTGTGAGCTCTCCCACTTTCTAGCTCTGATGTAGAAAAATCACTGAATCTCCACAGGCTTCAATTTTCCAGTATGTAAAACGGGATTGATGCCCCTACTTCATCAGGAAACTGGTTTGATATTGGTCTATTACTAATACAAGGTTAGGAGGAATCACTAGCAAGAATAAAAAAAAATTAAAAGAAACAGAAGTTCTACTATGAAAAATAGACCAAGGGCCCAGGTTGGTTTGGCCCACTGTCCTTCTCCCGATCTGTTGAAGATGCCATTTCCAGTGTTTGGGACTGGAGGCCCTTCTGCAGGCACAGGGTGAGCCTATCTTTGGGGCTCTCCAAGTCCCCTTGTCCTCCATCTCCAACTATAGGCATCACATCATGGAACAGGACCCAGCAAGGGGGATGCAAAAGGCAGTGAAGTATGGCAATGTCTGGTCTCTTACCTCGGAAAACTGGAGCCTCCCAAAGTCGCTGGGTGGGCTTGCGATCTTGAAGACTTTCTTCGGCATCACCCACGTCTCCAGCGTCTCGAGTTTGCTCACGGCCAGATTGGTAGCGTGATGCTTGATCACAAAGCCCTGGAAGCGGTCAGCAAGGAAGTAGAGGTGGACAGAGGCTGGGTGGCCCATGGGGTAGTACCTGAAACACACACACAGTCTCACATGAGCTCATGGGTCAGGGCTGGAGATGTGCAGGCTCATAATGGGGTGCCCCCCCCATCATGCTGGTCTTGTTCCTAAAATAACCCCCATTTTATGCAATGCCTACCATATTCCTGAAACTTCTCCCTGTGTGTCTCTGATCTCAACAACTATTAACAGTAGCTTTTTAGATGATTACAAATGTAAAGCATGTTGACTGTATGAAAGCACAAGAAAGAAAATAAAAATTGCTACACTTTTGAGGCTTCTTTACATAGATGATGTCAATTCACAGATATTTATTGACTCTCTGGTGCTAGGTATTGGGAAGCAACAACGGTGTGCAAACAATGTCATAGTGACTCATTTCCCTTCGGCCTTATTCCCTATGCATATATTTGCATAAATCTCATACGAGATCATACTATACATACTGGTTACATCCTGCTTTCGCTTCATAGTATTTCGCAGGCATTATCACATTTTTGGAAAGTCTCTGAAAACGTGACACACACACACACGTTCCACTGTACATAATACTGTATTTTACAGAGCAAGTTCCTCATCATTGGCTGTTTAACTGGTTTTTAATTTTTTGGCCACTGTAGACAATGCTGCATTAAACATCCTTGAGCAAAAATGGAACCTCTCTCACTCATTTCCAAAGGGCCCTTCAAGTCTGCCGCCCAACTTTATCAAAAAGGTTGTACTGATTTACGCTCTCACTGTCCTTCTCAGTCAAGGCACTGGGCATTATCCTTAAAAATGAATCCAAGGTCCATACATTCAGACACGAAGAGGTAACCGTTGTTTCCAGACGCTTGACTTGGATCCACAAACAGTCACTGGGAGGAAGGGGCCGGGGAACTAAGCAGAGATGCCCAGGAGGGAGCTCAGGTGGGAGGGACTTGGGATGAGCCCCGCTTTCTTTCCTACTCGAGGAACTGAGGGCTGCTGGCCTCTGCAATGTGTGAACTGCACAGCATCAGAGGGTGCGAGTGGCCCCTGAACAACAGTGTTCTCCAAATCACCGTTTCTGCTTGGCTGCCTTCCCTCCGGTCCTCATCTGGAGCTTCAGTCTTAGGTGCAATGACAGCGGTTAGGGAGCCGCCTTCCTGTGCTTCCCCATCTCCGGAAATCACTGCCTGGTCACTGGGATGCCTCGGGGGCTCTGAGAAAAGCCAGCACCCTCTTCAGGCTGCTCGCTGGGCATCGGCTTCGGGAGCAGAAAAGCCTCACCCCGGACGGAGCTGCGAGCTCTGTGCCGGGATGGAGGCGGGCTGCAGCGGGGCTCTCTCCACCTCCGCAGCCACTAGCCACTGCGACTCCCGAGCACGTGACTGTGGCTGCGGTGGTGGAGGAACTGGATTTTTTATTCCATTCACTTTCATTGATTTAATCTCAAATGCCCACTGGTGGCCAGTGGTGACTGTCCTGGAGGCATAGACAGTCAAGACAGAGTCTCGTGGCTGCTGGCATCAGTGCCTCCAGTCCTTCACCTCCCCGTCTCCATGCTCTCTCCCACGTGGCGGCGCAGGGTTCCTTGCCCTGAAGAGACAGAGTCTATTTCCCCGCTCCTGACCTGCCTGGACCTGAGGCGCCATGCCAGCTCCCAGCCAGGGCCCCAAGAAGCCTTGCACATTTCCTCTCTTGCTCTTCTGTGATGAGAGCATGCTTTTGTGGAGCAGAGGATCCCAACCACAAGCATGAAGCAGAGCCCCTGTGGTACTCACGCAGGGGCGCTGGATATGGCTGATATAAGGTCATGGACAAAAGCAGGAGGGAGACAGGTAAGGAAGTTGGTGGCCTGGACCGGGAAGCTGGCAGTGCAGAGGTGGACTGAGGTGGAGGATGGATTCAGGTGGAGACAGCAGGATTTCTTGGAAGCAAGCAAGCAAAGATTGACCCCCTAGGGCAACTGGGAGCATGCCTGGGCTACCTGCTGGAGGTCGAGACATTTGGGGCACACAGAGCCACTCCCGTTGTCCCTGCCAGCAGCCCCCAGCCAAGAACAACAGAGCCTGCTCCCGACCTGCAGCGGCTGCAGATTCAGGAGAGATGCCGGCTGAGACCAGGAACCTGAGAACTTGAGCTCAATGTCAATGCTTATCACTTCAAAACACTGACGTGGGGCTTGTTTGTTACGCGGCATTATGGCAGGAGCTACGTAATACACTGTCAATGTTTGTTCTGCAGGTGGTTGGGTCAGTGATGGTGGGAGAAGAACAGGAGAGCTTGTGGCATGGGAGTGAAAACAAGAGTTTCCAGAAGGGAGAGGCCCAGACAGGGGTGCGGCTAAGGGGTCAAGTAAATGAGCAGAGGGCAAGCACTCTAGAAGCCGGGTCTGACTGCCTGCTTTCCCTCTCTCCTATCAAGCAACCCTGCTGTCTCCACCTGACTCCAGCTGCTACGGCCAGCATCCTGGTCCAGGCCAACATCGTGCCTCCCCTGGACCTTCGCAGGAGCTTCCTTTCTCCCTCCTTCTTCCGTCCACTTTACCCTCATAACAGCCATACCCACCGTCTCTGCTTAAATACCACAAGTGGCTCTGCTTAATGCTTACGATGAAATCCAAACCCTTCACCTGGCCCACAAAGCCCTGCCTCTTTAGCCTCATTTTGTTTCCCTCTGCCCCAAACCTCCACCTTCTAGCCACATGGACCTTATTTTAGATTCTACATAGACATTATTTTGGATTCTTGACCACAGTGAGCTGGTTTCCGCCTCAGGGCCTTTGCACGAGATATTCTCTGTGCTGGGACTGCTCTTCTCCTCTTAGGTTGCATGGCTGGCTCTGTCTTATCTTGCTTCAATGTCACTACTTCTGAGAGATCTTCCTTGACTGCTGACTCTTAGTCACCAACTCGTTGCCATCATGTGACTTTACCTTCATTCTGAGCAGAGCATTTATCCCTACTGATCCTTCGTTCTTGTGTACCAGTGCTTAGGCACAGTCTGTCTTCACACTAGAACGGGAGGGCCTTGAACACGGGGGCCTGGTCGGTCTGGGTCATGGCTGAGTGCCCAGTGCCTAACACAGAGCCTGACACATGGTAGATGCTTCAAACAATACTTGTTGATTGAGAGAAAATTCTAGAAGGATTTTCTCTTGAACCTTTTGTTTCTAAGGTACATCTAGGAAACATGGAACCCAGGACTGAGCACAAAACCTCCTGGTAGTTGTCTTGACTGTGCATGATAATTAACTAAAACTAAGAAGGGAGTTTGTTTTCAATAGATGCAGTACAACAGAACCTAAAGGATGCCACAGATGCATTCATCTCACCCAACGGTGGGTTTTTGTCTTTTCTTACTGAAATAAGTGGGCATTGAAAAAATTTGGAGACTCACAAACATCTAAATTTCTGATTTGTCTTGAAAAATGGCTGGCAGTTCAATGTCTACATGCCCATTGGACAAGAGCGTGCTGGGGCTCAGCACTGGGCCCCGGGCGGTCCCGGCTGGCACGGTGAGCCCGTGCTGAGGGGCCAGCCAGCACTGGCTGCCACGTGCTACTCGCCTGGCCCAGGAGGGCATTTGAATTTGAGGACGTGTAATAAAATCCTGACATCTTTATCTCTGGAGGGTGACTCACAAGCAAACTTTATTTTCTTGTGCTCTCAATCTGCCATTTTGAAAATTTCTGCAACAAGCATGAGTTATTTTAAAATGAAAAAAATCAATAAACATTATTTTTATGAAAGGTTATCCCGCAGACTGGAAAGACACAATTTGCATGAAGTGCCCAAAGAAAATGAGACTCTTGAAATAAAGTTCTCACGTGCTGTTTCCCCAGATATCCTGGGGGTAGGAATTTACTCTCCGCTGCCTTTTGGGATAAGGGTCCTTTGTCCTGATTAACGTTCAGGCTCATAGTCATAAATATATTGGCTTTGCCCACAGCAAGGCACAGGGCTCTAGTGCGATAAAAAAAAAATGAGCGAGAAGTCAAAGGATTCCAGGCCCGGGGCACCTTAACGGCCCGCTTAATCCCCAAACAAGTCCTAAAATTTGTTTGGGAGTGTCTTCTAGAATTTCCTATAAGATTATTTATTTTATAAATTCTAAGAAGCCTGGGATTAAGACTATTCTTGAATAACATTCTGCTTCCAAGAGTGGCACTGGGTTCTGTGCCGGGGATTTGTACTGTGGTTCTGTGAGCAAGGGTTCTGAGCCCAGACTAGCAGGGGCAGAAGACCTCCACCGTTGACCTTGACCCAAAGTACTGCTGCTACATGCAATGGGGGTGGGGGGGGGGCGGGGTAGGGGTTGGAAGTGAGTCTGAGCTACTTTCAGCTTGGGAGAGGGAGGGGATGGGCTATCAGGGGGAGCTCGCAGCAAACTTCACAGAGGATGTGGCGCCTGAGATGGCCCTCGGAGACTGGGAGAGGGTTGGCTGTGTGGGGACAGCGGGGGCGGTAAGCAAAGGAAAGCACAGAGGGCGCAATGAGCAGCTCATGTAACTGGTTACGGAGGGTGTAGCTCACACAGTAGGCTCCCTGTTGACGTTGGCAGCTTAATAATAATGGCACGAACATTGACTAAGCACTCTGTAAGTAAAACATGGTTAAAAACGGGGATGATGATAATACATAAGTGAGAAGGTCACTTTTGAGGATTATCTCCTTTAAACCTCCTAACACCTTATGCTGTAAGGCTTATTATTATTCCCATTTTACAGATGAGGAAACTGAGGGTCAGAGAGGTCAATCACTTGTCCAAGGCCAACAGGTAGTAAATAAAAGTTGAGTTCAATCTGCAGGTCCTGGTTCCCGACCCACACTGGGCTTTCCTTAAACTAAGTCAGAACCCGCAGGAAGAGGATGGAGGCTGAGGCCACGAGGAGATCAGAAGAAACTGGAGAAGCCCTGCCGAAACCCAGATGGCCAGGCAGGCAGTCCCAGCCAGGAAACCTTCCCGTGTTCAGGATTTAGGCAATAGTTCCAGAGAAGAGGGAAGAGCTAGGCAAGGAGGGGTACATAGGAGGAGCCTCAGTGGAGAGACTAATGTTAAACTTTTTTTTTTTTTTGCTTTAAAAGAGGGAGGTGGGAGAAGGAGAAGGGAGAGCAAGAAAGAGGAGAGTGATTAGAGGCACTTTTGAAAATCCAACCTAAAAAAATAACCAAAAAAAAAAAGAAAGAGGCTTTCTGCAAAGAAGAGAGTCATCAGGGCGTTATTTACAATGGCCCATTACTGACAATAGCAACAGGAAAGCGCTGGATTAAGCAAACTCCCGAGTTTCTGCTCTTTGGAACAGCAGCGGCATTCAAAAGGATCATTAGCATGAAGGAAGCTGCAGAGCAGCGGGAGGGGGGCTAATATTATAATGCCGATCAGGAATATAACAGGGCTCCGAACTCTTGTTGCAAGTATGTGACTATCTGCAATGCACATTGCTAGAGAAAGGAAGACAAGCCAACAAAAGGGCTGCTTGGCTTAGGGAAAGAGCGGAGGGGAGGGGATTCTGTGGAATTATTTCCCTACCTTCCCCTCTGCTTTCCATACATTCCAGAACACTCTTTCCTCAAGTGTCAACCTGCACCTGCTAGTGGCAGGTGAGGTGGATGATTCTCAGGGGTACCCGAGCGCTTTAAACAATAGTTCTGCATCTTGCTGATGCCTTTGGTCATATGTTTAGGTGTGGTAATGATAACATGGTTATGTCTGAAAATGGAGTCTTTCTTTTCGGAGACATACATTAAAATATTTATGGCTGAGGTGATGTGATGTAAGGGATATGCCTCCATCAGACCAATCTGGGAGGAGGGGCCGTGACACGGGATTGGCCCGGAGCTGGTCACGGGAGAGCTGGGTGGTGGGAGCATGGGGTTTCACTCTCTTCTCTATTTTGAATATATTTGACATTTTCCACAATAAAAAAAAAAGTTCTGTATTTCCATGGTTACCTTCCATTTAAGACAAATACAACTATGTAATAGGATGACATAGAGCTTCCCTTTAAAATACCACATATGCTTAACATAAAAGAATGAATCCACTGGAAGGAAATAATTGGGTAAGCATTAGATCTGGTACTTGGAAAAAGTAAAATTCTGCTGATGGCTTAGACCCGTGGTCAGCAAACTGTGGCTTGCGAGCCACATTCGGCTCTTTGGCCCCTTGAGTGTGGCTCTTCCTAAGCCTTAGGAGTACCCTAATTAAGTTAGTAACAATGTACCTACCTGTATAGTTTAAGCTTAAAAAATTTGGCTCTCAAAAGAAATTTCAATCGTTGTACTGTTGATATTTGGCTCTATTGATTAATGAGTTTGCCAACCACTGGCTTAGACCAATGGTTCTCAACCTGTGGGTCGTGACCCCTTTGGGGGTCAAACGACCCTTTCACAGGGGTCGCCTAAGACCATCGGAAAACACATATATAATTACATACTGTTTACAGTAGCAAAATTACAGTTATGAAGTAGCAACGAAAATAATTTTATGGTTGGGTGTCACCACAACATGAGGAACTGTATTAAAGGGTTGCGGCATTAGGAAGGTTGAGAACCACTGGCTTAGACAGGGTGGAGGGTAGACAGGACATGCTCTAAGCGCTGGGATGGTTGTGTAGGTGCTTTTTAGGCAAAGGAAGCGAGGGAGAAGCACGTGGCCCCTAACAGAGGAAGGTCTGCACCCTCCTCCCTGGTCCCCTCCCTGTCCCTCCTCCACTTGCCAACCTGGCTCACCTGCAGCTGTTCTCCCCATCAGTGTGCAGTGACGTCTCAGCCCTACGGAGGCCCAGGCGGGCGAAGGAGTGGTACAAGGTGAGCGTCACGTCGCTGAGGCTGTGGATGCCATCAGGCTCATCATAGACGTTCTCCCAGTAGGAGCGGAGCCCAGGAGTGCCTGCGGGGTAGTTCCCGTACAGGTAATAGTCCAGCTGCCCGATGATCTCCTGATTCACCACGGCTTCGAACTTTCGGGCAAAGAAGGTGGGCCGGGCTGTCTGCTGTGCTCAAGGAATAAAAAGATTAGCGTCAGCAGGTAGGATGGGTGTGGGGAGGCGGGAGCAGGGCTCTGCAGCCAGCCTGCCTGCCTCTGTCCTCTTCTGTTAAATGAAGACAATACTCAGGGTGTTAGGATGGAATGAGTTAATGTTGGTAAGGCATTTGGAGCAATGATGGGCGCCTGGGAAGCATCATGTTTGTTAAATGTTGGTTAAATAAATCACACCCTAGTGTTCACAGCTGGGATGGGTCTCCAAAATCATTTAACTGAAGGTCTAGGGCAAATACAGCCTACAGATATATTTTAATTGTCCAGCAGAGTGTTTTAAAATTGAATTAGCTGGCAATATTTAAAAAGTAGAAGACTTCACAGAAACAATTCTTGGCTTCCCTGTAAACAGAAATAGATCCAGCAACTCCAGGCCCCTGTTTCTGCATGGTAAGAACTGCTTTAAAGCTGGAAAGCAGCTGTCCCGTTAGACGGGCATGGCTTCTTCCGCTCACCACAGTCCCCACCACTCCCTATCGTCTCCTGGGCATAACAGCAGAGGCAGCATCTCCAGAGATGAGGTTTAGGAATCTGTATCCAAAAATGCTCCCCTGGTGGTTATGATGCAGAATTTGAAGACCATTTATGTAGGCCAAACTTTCAAGGAGACTGAGGCCCAGCGAGGAAAGGGACTGATCTAAGGTCACACAGCAAGGTAACAGAGTCAGGATTAAAATCCAGGGTCCAGGATTAAAGAAAGAAACTACTGAGTACCTGTTATCTATCAAATCTTATACTATGGTCTGGGCGGGGATCAACCAATTATTTTTTCAGTAAAGGGCCAGATAATAACTATTTCTAGCTTTGTAAGTATTCAACGCTGCTGTTGTAGGGTGAAGGTAGCCATGGGCCTAATAGCAGGTGAATGGGTGTCACAAAAGAACTTAAAAAGCAGGCAGTGGGCTGGATTTGACCCAGATTGGTTTGCTGACCCCTGTCTAGGGCTATGGAAACAATTCAAACATAGCCACTCCCTTGAGGTCTAGTGTTATTATTGAGCTAAGTTTGGGTCTAGCACTGTTTTTGCTGCTGTGAATAAACAGCAACAATCATGGCAATAATTACCAAGCACTGCAGTTATGTCATCACCTCAAATCCCCCAACAACTCTGCAAAGTGGGTATTCCGATTCCCATTTTACAGATGAGGAAACTGAGCTCAGAGAGGGGAAGTGATATGCACGAACTCACACAGTCATAAGATTTGAACCCGAACCTGATGCTCCTCAAACCCAAGCTCTTTCTACGGCACCATCCTGGGACCCCACTGCTGAGTAAACTGGATGCTCCTGATCACAAAAACCTTTCGTGTTATCCTGAACATCCCATCACTTCTCTGCGTCATGAACCCTTGGGACGTCCTGCCTCTGTGGCCAGGTCAGTTCAAATCCTCACTCTGCTACTTTCTAGCTGTATATGCCTCTGGGCAAGTCACCCAGGACCTCAGCTTCCTCATCCTTAAAATGGGTATAATATGGGTACTTAGCACAGAGTCTGGCACACAGTGTTAGCGCTATTACTATGTGACCATTACCACACCCCTCCCACCCCCCTGGCCTGAGCCTGCTTCCAGGGGCTTCTAAGTCTTGGTTTTCTGGGGGCAGAAAATCGAATCCAGTGGCAGGGCAGCCTTCTTTCCTCATCCATGATTCTTTGATCATAGCTGGATTTTCTAAAAGGGCATGTTTCTATATTTATCATCCTCTTCCTTGGAGTTCTTTGAACAAGAACTCCGAGTTCCTTATAGGCAGCAGTTTCTTGATTCTAGATGTTGGGGATGTTCTTGATCTCTCTTTGCTGTGGAAGAAAGAGCTGTGTCTGTGCTGGTCGGTCTTTATCAGAGACCGCGGTCCGCGGGATGCTGGGCCTGGAGTACAGATGCTACCGCTCGAGAGCAAGCAGGCTGGGAGGGCGCGCTCCCAGGAACCACACAGACTTTATCTACATGATGAGGTCCTCTGCGTGAGGACAACGACGGGTCCTCTAAAAAGTGGGGATTCTTTTTTCCTTTTGAACAGGTCAAATATTCCCCCTGCAGCCCTCTTGCTGCTCAGCAGATCCTTTCTACATGGACAATGGAGTGAAAATGTCACCCAAGTTTATGCCCAAATTAACATGGGCTTGGGGAGGTCCCCGGGTAGCTCTCGATCTGCCACCAAAAAAAAATTAAAAAAAATAAAAAGGTCTAGAAAAATACTATTGCAGCAACCGCTTACAGAGGCGAAAGACATTAGGTGGGGACCTTGAGGGAATGGAAACCTTGAGGGGTGAAACCTGCTGTGTATGCTGCACCTTTGCAGACACAAAGCCAGGAAGGCAGCGGGGGGCGGGTGCAAAAAGCCGGGGGCTGGACCCGGGAACACCTGGGCGGGACCTTCAGCCCTACCACTCCTTACATGTGTCTGTGGACAAGTAAGTTTGCCCATCGGTGCCTCAGTTTCCCCCCTGCACAATGGGGATGATGTCTGCCCCAGGGAAGCCAATGAAATGCCCACAGGGGCCTGGCACACAGACTGGGAGAGAGCAGATCCCACCTCCGGTGCCCAAACGTATAGAGCCTCCCAGCCCTCTGGGGATCTCGTTCTCATGCACATTCTGATTCAGCAGGTCTGAAGCCGCACACTATGTACGCAATGCATTTCTAACCCTCTCCCGGGCGACGCTGATGCTGCGGGTCCAGGACCACACACTGAGGAGCCAGGCTAGAGACTGAAGCCCCATGCGGGCAGCGGCTCAGTTACGTGCCAGTGAGTCAGCAGGGGCCCCTCAGTTACTGCCGTCCCCACTCTCCCTCTGGGTTAGCGGTTTGGGCAGCAGCATACCATCTCCACGTGATAGCTCCAGTGACCTCAGAGTGACGTGTTTGACTATTTTGTTGCCTCCTGTCTGTGCCTTCTGCAATTGGGGTCAAGCATCGTGAGCAGGAGGGTGCTCACACAGGATGGAAACAGGGTGCCGTTCGGGATGGGTCTGGGGGCTCAAGGGAAGCAGATGGAGCATGTATCGCCCTCTGCCTCTGCTCTCCCCACCACTGTAAGGGAGGCCATGCAGAGATACCTGTGAGGACAGTAACGCTTCTGCCTCCTGCTACTCCTTCCAGTTCACAGATTGTGCTGGTTTCCAAACCTGGCTGCTCATCAGAACTTCCCCAAGGTATAATCTATTAAACATTCCTGGACCTCACTGGAGATAGTGGTTTGCCCGCAGTACTGTGTGGCGATGCCTGAAGACATTTCTGGTTGTCACACTGCAGTGTGCTGCCCGCAGCCAGTGGGTAGGGCCAGGGATGCTGCTCAATGGCCTGCAGTGCACAGGACAGCCCACAGCATGGGATATCCAGCCACAGTGTTACTAGTGCTGAGGGTGACAAACTCTGGCCCGGATATACTCAAGTTTGTACCCAGGAATATGTTTTTAACAAATGTTTTCAGGGGATTCTGGTTAAAAGGCAATATAAAGAAATGGATACAAATATGGCCTTTGGAAGCAGATACATGTGGTCATATCACCTTGCATAAGGTTTTTGATGTTTCTATGCCTCGGTTTACCTATTTAGAAAATAGAATAATAATTTTAATTATCTATCTATCTATCTATCTATCTACCTGATAAGGTTGTTGTGGGGTTAATGAATCAAGACAGACAAAGTGGTTAGAATTATCCTGGTCTGGAGTCATTAAGAAAATGTTGGCTACTATTGATGTTGTCATTATTATTATCAACAGGCAGGGTTGAAAACTGGGGGGTGAGATGATCAACAGGCCTGGCCCTGGTTGCCTGCAGAGGATGCCGGGAGGCACGGTGTGGGGGCTGCAGGGCACCGTGGGCTCACCTGGAAGCGGTGGAAGTCCTGCGGCTTGAAGTCGTTGGGGGAGCAGCCGCACCAGTCCACGATGTGCTTGTACTGGCACTTGCAGCCCAGCTTGCGGTTCCAGTTGGTGATGCGCAGGTTGTTGTCCACCATGGTGTCGCAGTGGGGGCTGTTCTCCAGGACCGTGTGGAAGAAGGACTGCAGAGGAGAGAGGGACCAGCCTGAGACCGCTTCCCGCCTCCCTCAAATGGGCCGGGTGGGGTCCTTCCCTGGGACCCCTGCCTGCGAAGGGGCTCTCTTGGAGACTCATCTGTTCTTTCTGTCAGTGGGTCAGTGCCAGTCTGGTCCTACTCAGGGTGCACTGGATGTTTCGCCCAGACTGGCTGAATTCTGCTCAGAAGTCTAATGTCCTGAGTGTTCCTCTAATAACCTTGCCCCAGCAGTCTAAAGCCCGATTTCAAGATATCTCTTATCAACCAGGACATCTTCTGTCTGCTCAGCAGATAGGAAAAGCCCCTCGGGATACGTCAACACAAGGGGACCAGAGGAAAACCTGGGGACAATTATTCAGAAAACCTGGGGCCCTTAGGCTCTAGCTTTGCAAATAGCCAGGACTGAGAACAAAGGGATTCAGCTCTGAAATATCTTGAGAAGAAAGACCAGTGCTCTGGAATTTCACCCCTGGGTAAGGGAGGTCAGATTCATGGGTGCATCAGGCCCCAGGGAGCCCTCCTGACTTAGCTGCTGGAGTAGGTGACTACAACGCAGGCAGGTGAAGGGTGGGGCTGCCTGCTGTCCATGGTGCTGAACCAGGCACCATTGCTTCCCCCAAATCCTGACTCTTGGCCTACCTCTCCTAGGAACCTGCAAAAGACGCAATGTTGAGAGTGAAAAGAGAGACTGGAGAGGAGAGATATGGTTAGAGATGCAGAGAGACAGAGACTGAAAGACTGAGAGAGAGAGTCAGGGAAGGAAGGAGAGAGAGAGAGAGAGAGAGAGAGAGAGAGAGAGAGAGAGAGAGAGAGAGAGAGAGAGAAGGGAAGGTAAGATGGAAATGCTGGAATGGAGGAGGGGCTCTAACAGGGACCCGGAGTGTCACGTGCCTGTGTGTACTGGGACAGGGATGGGACAGAGAGACAGTTCCAGGATCAGCATCTTGATGAAAAGAAACAAAGCCTCAAACAGTCTCTTCTCAAAGGGCGGGTGGTCACAATGAGGCTCCACTCCCCCTCTGCCCCCGCTGACCTTCCTGTGATGCTAAATGACATGTCCGTGAACCTGGGTTTTAAGCTTGAGTTGTCTCCAAGCCCACAGAGGCCCATATTCTCCATCAAGCGGTGGGGAAAAGCACCCAATTACCAGCTGCCCTGTGTCCTTTCATAATGATACCGAAAGTCTCCTCAAGATAATGGATGAGGAGGTTATCGGAATTGAGAGAAAAGGTGGTGTTTTGCTGAAATAGGATTAAAAGCTGATTACTTAACATGTGTGCAGAATAGCAAAACCTGGCCCGGTGACAAGAAGCCCATCATCTCCCTGGAGTGAAGCGGGCAGCCGGCCCTACCCAGAGCTTGCCACCGCCCCAGATGTTGGTGAGAAACATGGAAACCATCAGATGAGATGCACTGTCTTGTCTGGACTAGAAACACAGAACCCCAGTGGTGCCGAGAGGGGGCACAGGCCGGAAGGAATGGTGGGCCACTCGTGGGAGGTGTCACGGGCTCCACAGAAACAGAACCAGCTCTGGAGTTTTCTGAAGGAGGAAATTAGGAGCTGGAGGTCAGGGAGCTTAACCTGGACTCTCCTAGCCTGGGTCTGATGAAGAGGCTGCTGGCACATCAGTGGCCACACTCCAGATGGGGCCAGAGCTATTTCAGAACAGCCTGAAGTCTTCCAACATTCAAAGGTGTCTGTGTCCCCCCCAACATTCACAGGTGGAAATCGTAACCCCCAATGTGATAATGTTACCAGGTGGGGCCTTTGGAAGCTGATTAGGAGATGAGGGTGAAACCCTCATGAATGGGGATTAGTGCCCTTATAAAAAGGGGCCCAGAAAGATCCATGATCCCTTCGGTCCTGTGAGAAGACAGTGAGAACTGTCCGTAGGCAGTTTGTGGCCTGGAAGAGGGCCCTCCCCCGATCATACTGGCACTCTACCTGGGCCACCTCGCCTCCAGAACGGTGAGAAGTACATTTCTGTTGTCTGTAAGCCACCTACCCTATCGTATTTTGCAGCCCAAACTAAGTCAGCTTCCCACCCTGGGGTCTGAAAAGTGGTGACAGACTCCCCAGAGCTTTTCAAATACTTCCAAAAGCCACGGGAAGTGCTGAGTCCCAGGCACGTGGCCATGAGGGCTGTCAGTGCAGGGATTCCTGTCTGTCAGGAATTGAAAGGACAATATTCACAATCGGAAGAGGGATTCTTGGTTGAGAAAGCCGTTACAGGACTGGTGACTGCAGCGCTGATGTGGGTGTGTCCTAAAAGGGCCGGCCTGCACAGATGTGCGGATTCCACTCTGCTCCATTCTAGAAAATGGCAGTAAGTGCCTCGTTCTATATAAAATTAGTATGTGATTATTTTAGGAGCCATGCAAGCCAAGTGTCTTAAGAAAGGGATGCCTTTTCCACTTTGCACGAAGACACCGTGGACTGCTTGGTGGCAGCACTGTGCTGTGTCCATAGATGGGAGGGGACCAGGGTCCCTGCCACTGCAACTCGGTCCCTGGCAGTCAATGCCGCTCTCCATCCTCATCTGGTTGTTTGGAGGGCTCTGTATTGGATTCAGCATTGCTTTACCAAAAAAATCAGCAAAATTTCAGCATCCGCTTTGCTCTAAATGCTAGAGCTAGAGCCAGCCCCGGACATTCTGGGGGATTTTTTTCTGGGACACTCACCTCGGCAGGAAGCAGGGTGTAGGAGTAGAATTGCTTCATTTTAGTCACCAGATCGTCTGTGGAGAATGTCACATAGTCCACAAACTTGCGGTTCAGCAGGAACCAATCGGAGCCGCCATCCACGGCAATGCCCTCTGGGATCCGCCGGTCCCCCAGGCGCCACATGTGGGCGTCACACTCCAGGAAGAGCCGGTCCAGGCCCTGTTTCCGGATGAACCTGAAAGACACAAAGAAGTGATCAGCCCAAAGGTGCCTCCACCCAGTGTCCCAATGAGATGGCACAATCCCAGCGATCAAGGCACTTATGGAGCACTGACTGTGTGCCAGGCACCGAGCCAGGGCTCTGTGTATACGCTGGCCCTTGCCACTCTACCCCTCTGAGGCGGGTGCTATTATTACACCCATTTTACAGATGAGGACACTGAAACTCAGAGAGTTTAGGGCACTTGCAGAGCACAATTAGATAGCAATGATCATCCAGCACAGCTACTTCCTCTTTAGAGAACTCTGAAATCATCTTTTCATGCCATGGGTGCCTTGGTAACATAGTGAACACAGCCTGTGGACACTCATCCTAGCCCAGTGATGGCGAACCTATGACACGGGTGTCAGAGGTGACACGCGAACTCATTTTTTTGGTTGATTTTTCTTTGTTAAATGGCATTTAAATATATAAAATAAATATCAAAAATATAAATCTTTGTTTTACTATGGTTGCAAATATCAAAAAATTTCTATATGTGACACGGCACCAGAGTTAAGTTAGGGTTTTTCAAAATGCTGACACGCCGAGCTCAAAAGGTTCGCCATCACTGTCCTAGAGTAATGTTCTTAAATCATAACACACAGAATTACAAAGTATTTAAAAAACAGAAAATTTATGATATAGTAATTTTGGTGCTTTTTGATTCGCACATTAAATACAGGATTACAAAGTATTTCTTAAAACAGCGAATTTATGATAATTACATGTGGTGTGTTTCTTTCTTGACACACAAGAACTTGTGGCAGATCTAATAACTATTGTAAATGTGAGGAAGTGGTGAGGGTAAATGACACTTAGATGTAGACTCATCAGCTACTATGTGATGTGAAAATATGTGACTCTTAACAGTTACTGCTCACACTACTGTGGTTTGGTCTCTATATTTAGGTAGATTTCAGTGAAAATAAACAACGTTTTCCTCCCATTCAACGTCATGGACCCTCAGAACTCCATCTATGAACCTCAGATGGAAAACTGCTTGAAAGTATAAAACATAAATATTTGGGATTTAGCAAGGCAGGCTGGCAGCTCTGGCGCTTCCTGTTTTGTAAATGCAGAAAGCAATGGTCCAAGAGCTGGTAATACAGGTGTGTGGGGACATTGGACAGAGCAAGAACCCAGCCTCTGGCCCAATCTCTGTGCATTTACGGTGAGCATTAACTGCACACTTACTATGTGCCAGGCACGGTGCTGGCCCTGTGCAGGGCAAGGAGGAGTAAGGATGATCCCTGCTCCTCAGGGGCTAGTTACCCAGTTGGGGGCTTAGTCTAGAGGCCTCCCCACTCAGGGATCCCGTGCTCCTCCCGTTCTACAACACAAAGTCACCCGCTTTAAAGTGTAGAGCTCAGTGGCATGGAGTTCATTCACAACGTTGTGCAACCATCACCTCTATCTGGTTTCACAATATTTCATCACTCCAAAGGAGACCCTATGCCCATAAGCAGACCCCATGCCCCGTACCCCTTAGCCCTTGGCAACCACCAAACTGTCTTCTGTCTCTACGAATTACCCATTTTGGGTATTTCATATAGAAGGAATCCTATAATATGTTGGTCTTTTTAATAAATATGCTTTTATTGATCTTAGAGCGAGAGGAAGGGAAAGGGAGAGAGAGAGAAACATCAATTGGTTGCCTCCCACACACACTCCTACCAGGGACCAAACCCACAACTTGGGCATGTGCCCTGACCGGGAATCAAACCGGTGACCTTTAGGTGCATGGGAGGATGCCCAACCAACTGAGCCACACCAGCCAGGGCTGTTGGTCTTCTTGTTTGGCTTCTTCCACTTACCATAATGTTTTCGAGGTTCATTCACACTGTAGCACATACTGGTGCTGCATTCCTTGTTTCTGTCTATCCAGCATCCGCTCCTCAGTTTTCTGGGAACCACATCTCCACTGCACTTTGGACAGTCCCTAATCTTCAACTTGGGTTTGCACCTAACCCTAACAGCAGGGGTTGAACATAATCCAGGCTGGTCAGTTCCATCTGCTTGGCTGCCATATTGGTTCAGGAATGGGTGAGAGATTCAAGCTGGTTTTGAGATTGGGTCCTGGAGTTTTTGCTGAATTTACCAGGATGGAAGAGCCTTCTATGGGATTCTTAGCTGAGAGAATGCAAGCCTAGAGCTGGCTGGCAGCCTCTTATCACCATGAGTATAGAGGCTGCCTGACAGTGGAGGTAACACAAAAAGAAGTGGGAGGGAGGCCACATTAAATGGGAGCCCAGGGAAAGTTGCCAGCTTTCTGAGGACACACAGAGACACATGAAGGACAGCAGCCAACCAGAAGGCCCAGGTATCCAGCATCTCTGGTCTTGTTCTTTCTCTAACACATCTTTCCACGTGCCAAATCCAAGTTTGGCCTCACATGGACGAAGGATTAGGTATCTCTTTGGGGGATGTGACCTGGTGAAGGTTTTTCATTATACTCGCCATATCACACCAAACTTGGATTTAACCAGTTCATTAAAAGGGGCCCTGAGGTTAGGAAAATAAAATCCTATCTCAACTCTGGTTGATGCTAACTTATACAATAATATACAGTTGGTGCATTTAACCATGCATAACACTTTAAATTTTATATAATTTATATCAAAACTTACATGGTAACCAAGACTAACCCAGAGAGAGAAATAAAAGGTATCCAGGTGCGAGGACTTACAAAATTTTTCTTTCTATGGACCAGCGTTTTAATTTTATGTTCCATTATATGGGATGATAGCATCGCCTTGCAATTTTAATGTGATGTCCCAGACCATAATATCCAAATACAATATTTATGCAGTAATCTCCAAAATGAAATATTCATGGGGTTGGGAGATTGGCTGCTGTATTTACTGCATTCCCAAACTGATAAGCTGCAAACACATGCTTTGGTTAATTATGAGTAAAAATAGAGACAACTGTTCCCAAGGTTTCAGAAAAAGTTCCTGGGTTGAGAGGCGCAACTGGAACCTGGGTCTGGGCTGGGAGAAGGTGGCAGAGACCCAGGGTCTGGGTATCTAGCAGGTGAAAGGAATCAGCTGCTTAGGACGTGACTTGCTGTGTTTCCTGCCCTGCGCATTAACCACAGCTTGGAAAGGTCAAGGCTGGAAATCAAGGCAAGTCAGTAAACTCCTGGATGTGTCTTTTCCTAGATGCAGGCTCACCAGTAAGCATGGTTCTCAAGGAGGGCAGATTGATTTGCAGCAATGGGCCCAAGACACTGAAGGTGACTAATGACTCTCTCCTCCCTACAGTTTCATTTCCCATTGACTTGGTTACCTGGGGCAACTGGGTCAATAGGTGGAACTACAGAAAACTACAGTCACAGCTAAATAGGGTTTTACTGGGATGTCACAGGTACCCAGTCTACTTGGCTGAGCATCAAGGAAACCAGATGGGAGGTGAGGAGGGGCCCTGATTCTCGCCCCTAGGAGAAGAATTCAGTTAAGAAAGCATCTGTAGCCTTTGGGAATGATCTCTGAAAAGGCAGGCAATGAAGAAGCCCCTCAATTCAGTTAATTCTCTTGCTGCAATCTCAGCATCGTCATTGAGTATGAAATTATTCCAGAACTGTCTCGTCCTGTAATGAGTTCTCAAAGGAGGAACTCTGCCCCTCGGATTTTACAGCGTGTTTGAGCACGAAGGGATCTTAGCAATCAGCTAATATAACTAATTCTACAGATTAAACACACAGACACAGACACACTGAGACCCAGAGGGACGGATGAGCCAAAGTCATCCAAAGTCACACAGCCTAGGGAACAAAATCTCCCCTCCTCCACTTTTCCTGCCCAGTGATCTGTCACTGAACCCAGATTACTCCTTTAGCATAAGTACAACCTAAGCATTTTAGTTAAAAAATAAAGCCATGGGACAAAAGCATGAAAGCCACAATGTCTGAAGTCAGCCAGCCATGTGAATGGGCTCCCTCATGACAGCCACATGATAATGCGGGGGCCAAGCTCCGGCCACTGGAGCCAGACTATTTCATTCAAGTCCGGCATCTGCACTAACCTTGGGCGACCTGAACATGAGACGGCTCAGTTTCTCATGTGGAAGACGGTGATCATAAGAATAGCTGCCCTTACAGAGTTGGTGTGAAGGTTTAAATGAGATGATAGAAGGAGAGGGCTTCGCAAAGTGCTCACCACATAGAAAGTGCTCCATAAATGCTCACCAAGACGCTTAACAATTTTCCTTTTATCAAGCTAGAAAATTTAAAATTCTATCTCTCCTGCGAATTGGTAGAGTTACATGTAGGGCCCCCGCGTAACTAAGGAGAAACCCTGTATAAAAGGAAAAAGCAGGATATTTCAGCACCAAGGACAGAAGCCCAAAGCCCCCCACCACACAATAAACCCCATCTCCTGCTATTATGTTAGTTAAGCAATGCCCATGGTTGTGGTGGCAGAGGTGGCAAGTATCATGGGTATCCTAATTCTGTCCGAGCACCATGAATACAAAACCCTCCCATCTTTCCATGCCATGAGTCAGTGAGGGCTTGGCTCACTGGGTTCCTAGTTTGGCAGCTCCACTGGGGCCCTGCTGGCCATTTGTCTCAGGCCTAGGGTAGGCTGCGACCCTTCCTGACCTCAGCTGCCTGGCAGATGAAGGGGGCTTGGGTCAGTCCCTCATTCAGCAGCTCCAGAGAGCCCCTTCAATACGCCAGGTCTACGTGCTGAGAACCTACTCGTAAATAAGATGGACATCACCCCTGCCCTTCTCTCTCTTGTAGAGATAGAGATAAAAGAATGAAATAATACCATCTCCCATTCATTGAGCATGTGCTATTTTCTAGGCCCTGCTCCTCATGCTTAACATGTATTCTCTCATTTAGTATTCACCATGATCCTTCTTTTTACAAATGAGGGTTCATTTTACAAATGAAGGAATCAAGGCACAGAGCGAGTAAGTAATTTTTCCAAGGCCACCCAGCTGGTTAGTGGCAAGGGTGGGATTCAAAC